GCGGAGAAGAAGCTGAAGGAGGTGATTCTGCAGGTGGACGACGAGAGACGCAACACGGAGCAGTTTAAAGATCAGGTGATGCTCACCACAAACTCTGTGCTCAAGGTTCAAGTTTAGTGATGCTAACGGCTGTTTGCCATCGCCTGCAGTCTGAGAAGCTGAACAGCCGCATGAAGCAGCTGAAGCGGCAGCTGGAGGAGGCCGAGGAGGAGGCGCAGAGAGCAAACGCCAACCGCAGGAAACTACAGCGGGAGCTGGAGGACGCCTCCGAGTCCGCCGACGCCATGAACCGCGAGGTCAACAGCCTGAAGAGCAAACTCCGGTAAAACACGCTGAAAACACAGCGGCACGAGAGATATTAGAATTGCTATTATTAATCATTAATTTAATTAATTAAAAATACATTTCTTTTTACATTTCATCAGAGTTATTGCACATTCACATCAGTGTTATTAAATAGAACTAAAATAACTTATTAAATAATAAACCATTAAAAAATACATTTTCATTACTCTTAGCTATTTTCATTTCGTTTGACTTTAAGTACTTAAATTAGAAAATAAAAAATTAAATTAATAAAAACTACATGGACATTAAAAATCTATATTTCTAATTTTTGTTTAGAATTTAGTTCAACTAAGTACTAAAATAAATTAAAAATCTAATAAAATTAAAATTTATATAGACTTATTTAAAAATAATCTCATATATTTTTAGTAGTTTAAGTAAAACCATAAAAAAATAAATTTTTGTTAACAAAATAAATGTTAACTGAAATAAAAGAAATTATAGCTACAATTTCACATGGCTGCCAGAGCATATTTGTAATTTTTGTTTTGTTTAGTTCGGAATTACATTTACAAGTTGAATTACTAAAATAGCTATTTACTAAAACTGAAATTTAGTTAAAAAATTTAATTAAAAACTAAATGGACATTAAAAAATGATTTCCTTTTAGTTTAATTTGAAGTACTAAAATAACTACAACTAATAAAAATAACAAAAGCACAACAACGTGACTAAACATTTAACTAAAATTCAATTGAAAATGGAAAAGTTAAAAATAATGACTAAAATTTTTTTATTTTCTCAAAGGCTTAAACAGTTGGACATTAAAAATCTATATTTCTAATTTTTGTTTAGAATTTAGTTAAACTAAGTACTAAAATAAATAAAAAATCTAATAAAATTAACATTTATATAGACTTATTTAAAAATAATCTCATATATTTTTAGTAGTTTAAGTAAAACCATAAAAAAATAAATTTTTGTTACTTGAAACAAAATAAATGTTAACTGAAATAAAAGAAATTATAGCTACAATTTCACATGGCTGCCAGAGCATATTTGTAATTTTTGTTTTGTTTAGTTCGGAATTACATTTACAAGTTGAATTACTAAAATAGCTATTTACTAAAACTGAAATTTAGTTAAAAAATTTAATTAAAAACTAAATGGACATTAAAAAATGATTTCCTTTTAGTTTAATTTGAAGTACTAAAATAACTACAACTAATAAAAATAACAAAAGCACAACAACGTGACTAAACATTTAACTAAAATTCAATTGAAAATGGAAAAGTTAAAAATAATGACTAAAATTTTTTTATTTTCTCAAAGGCTTAAACAGTGAAATTCCTAATTCCGATGATGTATTAATTTATTATTCTATTTTTCTATAGTTCTATTGTTTTATCCATTTCTCTATACTTTCAATTTTTCTAAATTTTTATACTTTTATTCTGTTTTCCTATAATTCTGATTAATCGGGAATAAAGTATGTTACCTTACTGAGGCCTGCATGTGATCGAATGCGTGTCTGACATTGAAATGTGTGTGTTTTGTGTCCAGACGCGGCGATCTGCCCTTCACCATGCGCCGCATCGTCAGCCGCTCGGGAATCGAGAGTGACGAAGACCCGGAGGCCAAGACCGAAACCCTCGAACCCAAACCTGAGTGAAAGAAGCCGAACCGCAGCGTTCCCTCGCAAACACATACACACAAGTCTCGGACGACAACGTCCTTGAAAACTCAGAGATACCTTGTCGATTTTTGATATTTGTTCTTATTCTAGTGCCATAGTGTATTCGCGCACACACAATGGTTCTCCTGACAATCACACACATGACCGCTTCACTCACACCGAGGACCAAATTTGTGTTTTCATGTCATCGTCTAGAATAGAAAAAGAGCGGAATGATATTTTTGTAAGGACGCATTCCGTCATTTGTAGTCCCGATTCCGGATCTATTTTTCTAACTGAAGGAAAAGGATTAAAAGATGGTAAAGAAGAGAACTTATTTGAAGGGGACCAAGCAAAATTGCTTTCTACAAAACTATTTTATTCATACATTTTTATAATGGTATAAGGATGAACATAGCGCTCGCTCTCTTGCACCTCTGCTGGTAAATAGAAGATTGAGATTTACAGATAGTATCTACAGTTACGCTCTTGGGCTTCACACACGAATAAGGCATTTAGTTATCAAACCAGCACCGAAAATATTACACATTGTCACGCCACCTTATATGCACATGAATTGGGGAAAGACGGTTTGTTTCGAGCAATAAAATGAACATGTTTTATCAGACTGTTGATTGGCTGATTGAAGGAATACAGATGGAGTAGGCAAAGCACGAACTCATTTAGACATGGCACTATGCACTATCGCCTTAAATCTACTATTTGGATATTTTCTGTTCCTCTTTTCCTTCCAGTATATGTGTCTTTATTGATGTTCAGGGCATGAAGGGTGGAGGGTTGACGGTTTCTCTCACGCACACACTGTAAACGCTGAGCACGGCTGTGCGGGGGCGGGAATCCGCCGTTTGGCGGGAGTTTTTAAAAAAACATGGAACACCTCCATGGCTACCTCTGATCACGTTTAATACTCTGTGACATCATATTTGATTATTCTGCGATCTGTGTTTTCGGAACGATCTCAGGAGAACGGATTTGAGCGGACCCTCCTCGAAGCTCGTGCTCAGCTTCTGCTTTTTTCCCGCTCACACTGCTGGGAAGTGAGAGAAATGGACTATTATTGATTATGTATGGATAGATAGAGCATTTCTCTCTCTCATTCTCATCGTCTCCCAATAATGACTTTGTGATGTTGTGTTATGTTCTCTCTCTCTCTGCAGCTCCTGAATGATATCTGGAGAGATTTGTCATGAATCGTTGGTATAATGATGCAATAAAATGGCTTTTTCAAAACCGCTTTAGCAAGTGTATGCGCTCTTTGTCTTGTTTTGTCCTGGTTTTTCTAACATTAGTTACAGTTAAAGACAAAATAACTAAATTCAGATGCCTGGACCAAATTCTTAAATGACCCCACTGCCGTCAACTATTTACCGAAGATTTTTAGTCCTATAAAATAGCTTACGTCAGCATCTCGATCACCGACGAATGTCTTAGTTTTTCCCCAAATATTTATTGATAATCTTTCTGAAAGTCAAAATATATTTTCTCTTTCTCTTTTATTTAGCCAGTCAGACAAAATCCCGCGCGTCACAGTGTTGATTAAACCATTTTTCAAAATATGTGAATGTTTAATATGGAATGTAATGTGTAAAAAAAAAAAAAAGATAAAATAAAAGAGTATTTCACTTATTTATATCAAGGGCGTAGGTTTGATTTTGATATTGGTGGGGACATAACAGCAGACAGCCCCCCCATCCAACTACTACAATATTTTGGCATTTCTTGTAGACCAACATACTCATAATTTATTTTTAAAAAAGAGCTTTTTATGTTAGCCTATTCATCAGACAATAATTAGGGTTCACAATTTTGATTAGCCTAACCAGCAACATTACAGCAGCACCAGAGTACTGGGTGGCTTAATCACGCTGTACATCACTTTATTTTAAAGGGGTCATATGATGTTGCTAAAAAGAACATTATTTTGTGTATTTGGTGTAATGAAATGTGTTTATGCGGTTTAAGGTTCAAAAAACACATTATTTTCCACATACTGTTTACAGATCTTCTTTATGCACCAAGAGCTTGTAACACTCCAAAGAGAAAGGAAAACTTGAAATCGCATCATATGACCCCTTTAATATTAAATATGAATTGGACCAACGATGATTCTGAAAGAAAACCTTCACGCGCATCTGATTGACATAAACTGCACGCTCTTATTTCAGTGTTGGTTTTTATTTTGTGGATATTTCAGTTGTGCACATTCAGTTTAACAACATAAGTTAAAGAGGGTGAATTTTATCATTCAGCTGAACTCTGCACGTTTTAAACACTTTGCCTGTTCTTACTCCGCCCATGAAATAGCCTATGTGCGTCCTTGAAAGAGCGCAGATTTACTTTAGCTTCTCAGGTAATATCATGACCTATTTAGATGCCGAAATTACAACAGTGGTAACACATATTTAATTGTTTGATCAAAATTAGTGCAAGGGACAATTTAGTAATCGCAGGTTAAGGACATGTCAAATTCGACGCTCTTAATTTATATTCACCGTCAATTAGGCCTATGTTAAGCAATTGTTACGTTCCCACTTTCTAGTCTAGATTCTAGTCTAGTTTGATCATTACTGATGAAAATGCTTTCTTTTACGAGTTCTTTGAGAATATAGATATATAGAATATGCTCATGAAATGGTCCAATAATCTGTTTTTCACTGAGATTTTTTTTATTTTTTTTTACAGGTTTATTATTTTATTTTGTGAGAGATGAGCTTTGTTGTAGCTATGTCATCATTCTCTCATTTATTAGATGCATGCTTCATTCATTCATTCATTTTAATAGGCTAATCTGTTAGTCCTAAAACTTCGGTTTAGAATTCTGCTTTAGATATTTTGGATAAACTGTATTTTATATAGTTGCATTTATTATTTCTCAACCGTTACATTTGGTCACTGGTCTTGCAGACGGTATAGCTGACCAATCAAATCGAGTTTACTACGCACCTTGCTTTAGACCCCGCCCCTTTCTCTTCTACCTACCTGTGGAGCGCGTGCGCAGCAGGACAGACCGCAGCGCTTAACTGGACCGACTGGTGCTCACTTGACTTCTTCTATTTCTCTTCGTTCTTCTTTATTGTTCTTATTTCTAAGATTACTAATCACTTGCGAGGCCGAATATTTTTCACCCTTGCAACATTTATTGAAAACATAATTTTGTGACGCTGAATGATGCTCATGAGCATAGAGAAAGAAAAGGTGAGCTGATCTATTTAAGAACAGTTTAAACTGTAGTTTATACCTTACTATTTCTGACTGAAAAACTCAAAAGCAGCGCGCTCCTCACCTGGGAAGCGCGCGCATAATGAGACGCACGGTGCACACTGATGGAATAATAAACTGTGTGTGTGTGTGTGTGTGTGTGTGTGTGTGAGTGTGAGTGAGTGTGTGAGTGTGTGTGTGTGTGTGTGTGTGTGTGAAATTGAGATGCTTCAGTTATTCATTCTCAGATCACTGTTGTTTTCATCTTTAAAAAAAGAGAGAAAAGAAACAAAGTTCAGCGATAAACTTACTGGCATACATTCGTTCTCTCGCGTATTGCGTATTCGCTCGCAAGAGCATTGAAATATTGTTTTTTATCAACTCATCCAGCTTTTGCGAGCGAGCGAAAAGTTTGCAGGGGAATGTTTTGCGAGAGAACGCAAAAGCATTAAAAGATGTTTTTTGTTAGATGTTTTTGTGTTTAAAGATGTTAAATGTGTTAATACAAATGGGTGATGTGGACATCAATTTAGTTGAAATGTATCATTTTGTCTGTTCTGCAGTTTCCCTCTGAACTCTGATATTCTGCCTTGATCCGCTCACCTCAACTTGCTCCATGTTTATAGGTCATATATCAGTCAAGTTATCTGGTTAGTGATACGGCAGTGTGACTGGTAGTTACCGCAGCTCTGACTGTGCAATATCTCAGCTCACGCGGTTTAATATTGTTCATTGATCATAGTTACGGGAATATGCGGTTGAAGATCTGAGCGGGCTCTTTTCAGGGAGTTCGTTTGTTGTTGTTGTAATGTTTACTTGAAGCTTTTGCAGAAGCGATGCAGCCAATTCATTAGTCAATCCTCTGAGGGGGGCGGTCTTTAGCCGAGCCTCTTGTTTTCCTGCATTCTGATTGGTCCGTGTGAAGCAGGGCTCTGTTAAACTAACCCTCATAGGGCCTTTCGCACCGCTTTAGTTCCAGAACTAAATGTACAGTACTAAAGTACTGGGACGATTTTGCGCGAACTATTTCCCAGTACTATTTAAAGGGTTGCATTCGCACTGAGAGTGTGTACTAAAGAGTGACGTAAGCCGTTCGACAGCGTCGTCATTTGTGCGCGGTGTTCAACAACAGAAACAAAGAAGAACAACATTAACAACAGGAGGATGGAGGACGCTGTGATCGGAGCTGAACTGATCATCTCAAACATCATGGAGTTCTCACTGGTAAGCTTCTGTGTGTTTGTATTTTAATTGCTTTTTGCAAACCTGTACACTTCTAGAAACACGTTTTGACACGCTGAACTAATGTTTCTTATATTAGGCCTAGCTTTAAAAAAAGAGAAAATAAACACAGTTCAGCGATAAACTTACTGGCATTCATTCGCTCGCAAAACTTCAGCATTCTCTCGCGTATTGCGTACTCGCTCGCAAGAGCATTGAAATATTGTTTTTTATCAACTCATCCAGCTTTTGCGAGCGAGCGCAAAGTTTGCAGGGGAATGTTTTGCGAGAGAACGCAAAAGCATTAAAATATGTTTTTTGTTACATGTTGATTTGTTAGATGTTTTTTTGTTTAAAGATGTTAAATGTGTTTTTTTTTCGTACCATTTGATGTTTACGGTAGACACGGAGAAACTTCCATCATGTCCAGTTAGGGTCTCTGTACAGTAGACCATGAACACTATGCATCAGAATATAGGCTATACAAGTAATGTAATATAAAGCAAAATACAAATGGGTGATGTGGACATCAATTTAGTTGAAATGTATCATTTTGTCTGTTCTGCGGTTTCCCTCTGAACTCTGATACTCTGACTTGATCCGCTCACCTCAACTTGCTCCATGTTTATAGGTCATGTATCAGTCATGTTATCTGGTTAGTGATACGGCAGTGTGACTGGTAGTTACCGCAGCTCTGACTGCGCAATATCTCAGCTCACGCGGTTTAATATTATTCATTGCGTATGATCATAGCGGGCTCTTTTCAGGGAGTTCGTTTGTTGTTGTTGTAATGTTTGCTTCAAGCTTTTGCAGAAGTGAAGCAGCCAATTCATTAGTCAATAGTGTTGGGTCGTTCTTGAACGAACGAATCTTTAATGTGACTCGGGAAGAACGAGTCGTCTCGGGGAGTGATTCGTTCAGTAGTCAATCCTCTGAGGGGGCGGGCTTTAGCCGAGCCTCTTGTTTTCCTGCATTCTGATTGGTCCATGTGAAGCAGGGCTCTGTTAAAGGGGTCATATGATGCAATTTCATTTTTTCCTTTCTCTTTGGAGTGTTATTGGGTTTGCATGGTGCTGGTCAAAAGAGGTGGGGCTGAGCAAACACCCTCAGTTAAACGGTAGATGAGAAACTTCAGTTAAATCCAGCAGGAGACCAACTGAAGCTCTGCTGAGTCATGCTTTACATCACAGATTCATATCATTAACTTATGAAATCATTTCATTTATCAGGGTTTATATGAGGGCCAAAATAAAAATCAAACCAGTTTTGGTTATTTGATATATGAATACAGTTTTTATTAATATTTTGAATTAGTTTTTATTTTTATATTTTCCTTTTTAATTTTAGTTTTTAGAAATTGTTTTGTTGTGTTTTTATCGTTTTCATTAGTTTTTTAATGTTTTATTTTTATTTCAGTTTGTTATTTTAGTAACATTCAGTAATTCAGTACTTAATTTAATAAAATTTTGTTCTGTCATGACAACTCTCAGAGGGATTGGCATGGTAATGTACATGACAATGTTAATGTATTTGGTCTTTTGGCGGAATAGATCTGCTACGCTGCTGCTGCCGAGACTTGCTACTGCCAATACATCCACAACATGCTGCTGTGAGCATGTAAGAAATATTGCTGAAAAATGAGAAATGTTGCCATGGCAACTAGATAAAATAAAACAAAATTTGTTTAAATATGTTGCTTCCACATAACAGGTTTCTCTCTTTCTGTGTGTTCGATTTAGGCTCATCCGGCTGTGAAAGCCTTCATGTGCGGCTCTCTGAGCGGGACGTGCTCCACTCTGCTCTTCCAGCCTCTGGACCTGGTGAAAACACGTCTGCAGACCCTACAGAACGGCGTCCAGCACGGGTCAGTCCACATACGGGACGAGGCTTCAATCTGGCTGAATGAGTATTAAATGAACTGTCTTCTGTGCCTTAGGTCGGGTCGGGTCGGCATGGTCACGGTGTTTGTGAGTGTCCTGCGCACAGAGAAGCTCCTCGGACTGTGGAGAGGCGTTTCGCCTGTGAGTGTCACACCTGATTTGGTACCTTTGGATGGCGATAAACTGCAGAAATAATAATAATAATAATAATTCTGAAAGGTGTTTAAATGATTTAAACAGACATTCAGATTGGTGTATTTGCTATGATGTTCAACACAGAGCCAAATACTTAAATATTTAGACTTAATAGGCTATTTATTGATACCTCTGTTATGTTTGTTTGCATGGTTATGTTCTGTATTTCTGTCTCCGCAGTCGTTTGTGCGCTGCATTCCAGGAGTCGGCATCTACTTCAGCACGTATTTCACTCTAAAGCAGCGTTTTTTTGCCGACGGGGCCCCGGGGCCCTTACAGGCCGCACAGCTGGGAGCCGGAGCCAGATGTGTTGCGGGCGTCTGCATGCTGCCCGTCACCGTCATCAAAACACGATTTGAGGTGTGTGTGAAAAAAATTGGGTTTTTTAAAAGAAATTAATACTTCTATTCATTAAGAATGCATTAAATTCTTTTATGCTGTTCTTTTAACCTTCCTATACAAAGAATCCTGAAAAATAAAATGCATCACGGTTTCCACAAGCAAATCAGCATATTAGAATGATTTCTGAAGGATCATGTGACACTGAAGACTGGAGTAATGATGCTGAAAATTCAGCTTTGATCACAGAAATAAATTACATTTTAGAATATATTCACATAGAAAACAGTTATTTTAGATTGTAATAATATTTTAAAATTTTACTGTATTTTTGATCAAATGCAGCTTTGATGAACAGAAGAGACTTCTTTCAAAAACAGCTTACAAACCCTAAACCTTTGTATATCTGTACAGACCGGCATATCCCTAATCTGTACACACTGTATGACCTATAATATAGCGTATGCGTGTGTCTCAGAGCGGCCGCTATAAGTACAGCAGTGTGTTCGGAGCGCTGCAGTGTGTGTGTCGGACGGAGGGACCGAAGGCTTTGTTTTCAGGTCTGACTGCCACGCTGCTCAGAGACGCGCCATTCTCTGGGATATACGTCATGATCTACAGCCAGGCCAAATACACGCTGCCACGAGGTTTGTGTGAGAATATACTGGATGCACTTCAGCTTTACATATGTGTGTGATTTAAGTAGGATTTCAGCATTCTAAATGGTTAATTTTACAAAGAAACTTCTAGCTCATATTTATTTTACGGAAACAAAATTTTGCACTGTGATGTTTGTATCTTAAAGAGTCCCTAAAGTGACATGGGGGGATTTGCTTTTTTTTTAGAATTAAAAAAAAAAAAAAAAAGTATTTTTTTTATATATATCTTTTTTTTTTTTTTTGAGCCGTTTACAGGCGAATGTAATATATCTTGGGCAATGCAAAAGTGAACGCACAGGTTTTGCAAGCGAACATAAATTGCTTGCAAAAACTGCAAGCGATTTATGTTCATTTTTTCCATCACCATATTTGATGAGACATCAGGCAGCAAGAATATTGCTCTTGGTCTACAAATGTTTCTTCATAAGAGATAAAAAGCATGATGTTGGATTGTGTAACAGCCATGTGGATCAGACTGTACTGATGTACTATCTCTCTCTCGTTCAGAGATCAGTCAGTCGTCTTACGCTCCGTTAGCAAACTTCAGCTGCGGGGTTCTGGCTGGCATCCTGGCCTCCATTGTAACCCAGCCAGCAGATGTGGTGAAAACTCACATTCAAGTGAGTCCAGACGTCTTCAGCAGGACATCAGATGTGGTGCAATTCATTTACAAGGTAACAGATGCCCTGATTCTCCCGACATGTACCTCTCTGCTGCTTTAGGTTGGCTCTCAAATAAAGCAAGAAGCAACGCAGCTCATCTAATCAGATCAGACCCAGAACTATTTGTTTTACAATGCTACTGTATTAAGTGAAAAAAAGAGTGAAAGCATATTTAAAAGTGAAGTATGTCATTTTCGCACCACCAGCATCACCAAACAGAAGGACAAAATTAATGACTGTTTTCAAACAGGTTTCCACAAACACTTCCACCACCTGCCAGTGTAGTTGTATCCAGCAAAATGCTGGGTTGTTTCAACCCAACTTTGGGTCAAATATGGACTAACCCAACTTTTGGGTTAAAAATGTAATGTAAAAATTTTACCCAATGGTTGGGTTAGTCCATATTTGAACCAAAGTTGGGTTGAAACAAACCACACTCTAAAAAATGCTGGGTTGTTTCAACCCAACTTTGGGTCAAATATGGACTAACCCAACTTTTGGGTTCAAAATTGAATGTAAAAATTTTAGTCCATATTTGACCCAAAGTTGGAGTGTGTGAATGACAAACCATTCCATTTATTTTATAAATCTCATATTGAAGAGGCCCAAATGGAATCTAGACATTTTTCAAATTTTTGGAATCTGAGGAATTTTACAGAATGCAGATTCAAATGTGAAGACTTTGACCCAAATTGATTGTTCCTACACTCTAAAAAATGCTGGGTTGTTTCAACCCAACTTTGGGTCAAATATGGACTAACCCAACTTTTGGGTTAAAAATGTAATGTAAAAATTTTACCCAATGGTTGGGTTAGTCCATATTTGACCCAAAGTTGGGTTGAAACAACCCAGCATTTTTTAGAGTGTAGGAACAATCAATTTGGGTCAAAGTCTTCACATTTGAATCTGCATTCTGTAAAATTCCTCAGATTCCAAAAATTTGAAAAATGTCTAGATTCCATTTGGGCCTCTTCAATATGAGATTTATAAAATAAATGGAATGGTTTGTCATTCACACACTCCAACTTTGGGTCAAATATGGACTAAAATTTTTACATTCAATTTTGAACCCAAAAGTTGGGTTAGTCCATATTTGACCCAAAGTTGGATTCAAACAACCCAGCATTTTTTAGAGTGCATATTAGATCTGATTAGACTAACCTGAAATGTTATTGTTAGCAAAAAACACAACTAAAACTATTCTGAAACATGAAACTGAAATAAAATAAAATATAAACATTAGATAAAAAACTAAACAAACAAAGAATCTTGAACTAGGGTCATTACAAACAAACAAATAAAGCTGGAATTAAAATGGAAACTGAAAATAGTAATAAAATAATGAAAATGTAATTCTAGCATTCTATCTAAATTCTATCTGTTTGTCCGTCAGGAGCACGGGTTGGTGGGGTTTTTCCGTGGCGCGGTTCCTCGCTCGCTCAGGAGAACCATGATGGCGGCGATGGCGTGGACGGTGTACGAGCAGCTGATGGCTCAGATGGGCCTCAAATCCTGAGACCGATCACAACCACATCACACACTGAACCAAATCTTCACACGGGACGTCTGATGTTTTAGTGTTTGACTCGGAGATCCTCGACGGCGAGGCTCATGTGGATCAGAAAATCCGATTGTTTAACTGACCGTGATCTGCGCAGTTTTGAGTTTCAATGAAAACACAAATGTGAACTTTAAAATGCACTTTAATATGTCCGCTCGGCTTCTCTTGTCTACATGTGCACTTTATGAGAGGCTTTAAGACAGTCATATGTTTGCTTTTATAGTCTTTTTGTTATGTACATCTATTTGACCAGAGTTAACAGGAGAAGTGCTAACAATACAACGTTTCTAACATCGTCCAGAATAGTACAATTGTTATGTTGAAATTTAAATATGGTTATGACTGACAGGATAACTTTATATGTTGTGCAACCAAATAAAATAGTTAAACACACGAGACTGAGAAACAAACAGTTTTTTACAGTCTGATTGAGGGTCATCGGCCGAAATGAAGACTTTCTGAATGAAGAGCAGATAAGAGCGCTGACCTCCAGCCTCTTACGCAAAACCCTTTAAACGAGTCAAAGGAGAGTACACAAACTATTACAAGACAGCAGTGATTACATGTGACATGCTGAAAATGTGTAATGCTTTAGATATGTTTGTTTGACATGTTCAGTAGCCTATTGCAACATAGAGAAACACTTGAATAAATATTCAGTAAAACTACTGTCGCTTCCATCATTCATATTCTTGCTACTTGAGTGTTTCATGTTTCTGATATAATAGAACATTTAAAAAAAAAAACTTTTCCAAACATTTTTCATTTGTAAGTTTCAAAGCAGCTTTACCTACATAGGCTAGTGTGCCATAGATTCCCCCAAATAACATATTCACTGCAGTTACCGCTGAAAAGGAAATAAATTGGTGTAAACGCCAGCAAACCCTGAAGGAAATTAATTTAATTTAATTCTGAATTTTTGTCATTTTAATATAATAATCGATTATATTAATAAATAGCATTCAGATATTCATATTTATGTTAATTTTATAAATTAAAATATTTTAATAACTTTTGTTATTTTAATAAAATATTTTTAAATTCAATTATATTTCAATTAATTTTTATTTACAAATACAATTTTACTGCAGTAACAATAATAATGGCATTGTGGAGGAAACTATGAATATAATGCTTACTTTTGTATAAGTTAACATCGTTGTCTATGAAAGTCTCTTTAGCAGCGAATTATTTGTGGTTTTCTGGGGGTTTTCAGAGGGAACAGAACATCTTAACCCAGTAAATGAGGGACGTGATGATCGTGCTCTAGTTTCATCCTTATTTACCTGCGAACATCAAATCACTGATTTATGTTTAACCTGTACAAGAACAACCTCATTGATAGCACACAAAAACATACTGTCCTAGTTTCTCAGTTCATTTTCACTTTCACTTCAGTATTTTGAGGATTGCACATATATTCAAATCAAATAAACGTTTCTTAATATGAAAATTAAAAACATGGAAACATGTTTGTGCGCTGTGTAAACACTCGTGACTCTGTCATTTAGGACATTGTCTCTCAGCAAACAGAAGTTGCGACAGAATGTACACAGTGTTTAACCGAGGAGTCACTCCGCTTCTCGCCATTGTCTTAATATGGTCTTTGTCTTAATATGGACAATCCATCCCGTGTGTCTTAATATGGTCCACCCGTCCGTCACAGCAGCGCCATCTAGAGCAGAGGACAGAAAACACAGTAAAAACACAACACTGAACACAAGCGCCATCCAGCGGCGAGAAAACACAGTACAGCAATAAAAAAAAAAAATTTTGTACACATATACCTCTTAAACTCAGTATTTGCCTAGTTTTCAATAATGTGAGAAGTTAAAAGTATTGTAAATGTAATGAGCATTAATTGTTCACATTTTGCTGCATGTTTTAACACGTCATGTTTTAAGTCTGTGTTACAGGAGCATTTGTTTATAGTTTTCTCTGACCTCATTTAAAGACATCGCTAACATCTCAACCAACATGATTCTCCATGTGTAATATAAAATATGTGGTATAGCAAATTAAAGGGTGGTTTTGCTTGTGTAATGCTTTTACTGTAGATCAGGTGACTACTGGAATCAGATCAGCAGCGCTTGGAAACGCAGCAAATACTGTCAGATCGAGAATTCAACTAAAGAGTAAAAAAAAAACATTGAACACTTGCAGAAATCGAATTTGCGCGAAACGCTCTGTATGGGGTGATTTAGGTCCAGGCAAGGTCAGAGTCTGACTCATGAGTTCACAGCTGACTGTGTTTTGCTTTTTAAAGGAGAGTGTATTTAAAGAGTGTTCAGTTCCCTGTTTCTTTGTCCGGTATTGTTGATGTCTACTTCCTGTGCTACGTGTGATTCCCTGAAAGATAATTAAACTCCTTGGTTTTGTACTCTTGGTCTCCTGGTTCCTTGCTCCGTGCTCCCGCACCGTAGCACCCCGTGACAGAATATCGGACCAAAACTTAAAGTAAGCAGCCCCTTTCTCCCCGGTTTTTGTTTCCGTTTTTGAAAAGTTGTTTTTTTTGTCCTGTTCATTCCACTCGTTTCTCCCCATCCCAAATGGAGGAACGAGCAATGTTCATCACAATGGCTCAGGCGAGCCCAGACCCAATCGTCTTCACGAGGGCGCTTGTGCCGCTCGCCCTTGCCAGCTCCCTCGAGGGGGAAACCCTCACAACGCTGTTCCGGATTGGGATGACATACCATCAGCCCACGGAGCTCCCAGACACCACCAACCTCGGCTGGAAGGAGCCAGTCATCCGGTGTCTGGAGAGTCTCCGATCCCAATCCGGAACCCCTCCGCCGGCTGTTCCCGAGTCAAGTCAGCCGGCAGTTCCCGAGTCAAGTCAGCCGGCCGTTCCCGAGTCAAGTTCTCCGGCCGATAATGTGGCAAGCCCACCGGACGTTAATGTGGAAAGCCCACCGGACGTTCATGTGGCACTCGCTCCAGTGTCGGCTCCAGTCCCAGAGCGCCCTCCAGTGCCCGCTCCTCGTAAGCGCCTCCCAGAGCGCCCTTCAGTGCCCGCTCCTCGTAAGCGCCTCCCAGAGCACCCTCAAGTACCCGCTCCTCCAGAGCGCCCTCAAGTGCTCGCTCCTCCTGAGCGCCCGCCAGAGCCCGCTCCTCCTGAGCGACCCGCCCCGAACGGGTACCACTCCGAATGGGCCCACTGTCCCGTGTCTGTCCTGAGGGACCTCCAGAGCGCCCACCCCCCTCCCCTTCTGATGTTATGAACCAACGCACTAATCAGGCCAACCGCACCTGATACCTGTTGTTGCTCATGTCTTGCGGTCTCAGTTCTGTTTCGTTCTTGTTGTGAATTACCTGTTGTCGTCGCCATTCCTGGATTCCCTGTGGCTGTTCTGGTAGCCAGTTTGCACCACGCTGCCAAAGTCTGCCACTTTGTCCTCGCCGCTCTGTAACATCTGACCATTTTCATGTGCTATTTCCTGTGTTTATGTTATTCTTACTAAACACCTTATTTGATTGCATTCATTACTGGATCCAGTTTGTTATTTTCCCTGACACTGTTTATAGAACATTACGTGCATAGTTCCATTCTATTGGAACATTATGAGCATAGTTTCTCTACCTTCTTTTCGGATCTTGTCCAACCACATTACAAACAAAAAACTCTCCTAAAAGTTCAGTGCTTTGATTGCATTCATTACTGGATCCAGTTTGTTATTTTCCCTGACACTGTTTATAGAACATTACGTGCATAGTTCCATTCTATTGGAACATTATGAGCATAGTTTCTCTACCTTCTTTTCGGATCTTGTCCAACCACATTACAAAACACAAACTCTCCTAAAAGTTCAGTGCTTTTACTATGTCTTAAAAAAAAAGCTTTGGCTGATTCAAGGCTGATTTTTTCCCCCTGCGTAGTGCTTGTGTTGAAAAAGATTAATCTTTATAGAAGTCACATGCAGTCATAATTAATAATTGTATGATAAAATAACTGTTGGATTTGTCACACAATTTCTGTATTTGGATATAGTATTTTTAAACTTCCATTGTAAGATTCCATATAATGATATAGTCAGTATATTCCATATATACGATGAGTCAATGCATTAGACAACAGCCAGTCTCTCACATTTGCCACATCATGATCTAGTTATGGCAGTGGTTCTTAATCCTGGTTCTGGGGACCCCAGTTCTGCACATTTTCTGTAGTCATAAAATAACCCACTGAAATAAACAAGTTACAGTAAGTCACTCACTACAGAAAAACCTGTTTCTTAAGTATGTCATCAAGAGGATATATAAACCCTTCAGTTCATAGGAGGAACTTGACTGTCAAGCTGCAGTGAGTATCATCTCTCTGTCTGCTTTCATATACAGTGAAATGGCAGAAGCCAGTATCTCATGGGCTGAGGATCAGTTCAGCTGTTCAGTGTGTCTGGATCTGCTGAATGAACCAGTGACAATTCCCTGTGGACACACTTACTGTAAGAGATGCATCTCAGGTTGCTGGGATCAGGAGGATCGGAAGGGGATCTACAGCTGTCCTGAGTGCAGACAGACCTTCAGTCCGAGACCAGTTTTAGGTAGATGTGTGGTGTTTGATGAGATGGAGAAGCTCAAGAAGACGAGACTTCAAGCTGCTGCTGTACTGACAAGTACTGACAAGCAGTGTATGATGTGTTTGATGGATGAACACAAAAATTATAACACTGTTTCAACTGCAGCGGCCTCAAATGCTTAGAATAATACATAAAATGATTCCTTCAAGGAGATTAGACCAGACATCTGGGTCTTACCATTTCTACCAGATCCCAGCCTGTCACCTAGGTGGACTTACTGCATTTACCCCCAAACTCCCAGGGAGACTACAGAATAGCCAACAATCTGTCTGCCTGGGGCAGAGTCTCTGACAAGAGTCTTGACACTTCCCACTGGTCACAGAGAGGAAGTATGCAAACTAAGGTGCTTCACAGAGAATCCTTCAACTCGATAGTATGTAGCTCTCAAAGAGGCTCATAGAGCCTTCATTTGACCAAAACCAAAGCTCATATAAGGCAGCTTAAAGGGAGGCAAGAGAGCCTGACCGCAGGACAGCGCTTGATGGAGTGTAATACCCAGCATAATGACTCTCTAAATTGAGATGAGTACTGAATCTAAATCGAGATGAGTACTGAACCCTGTGCACATGGTAGAGCTCTTGAGAGCTCTAAACAACCCTCTAAAGTGAGGGGAATACTATTATGCTCACCAGCTTAGGAAGCGGTGTACTCAATACGACAACCATCTGAAGCGAGGGGAGTACTGCCAAGCTCAGCCGTAAGGGCGGCTCATCAGGGAGTTCCACAGAGAGCCTAACAGCCTGACTTACCTGCATCACAGAGCTCTAGGGAGTGGAGTACTTTGCATAACAACTCTCTGAAGTGAAAGGAATACTAAGTACACTCTAGGGAGCGGGGTGTTCTCTAAGCAAGAGGAGCAATATCCATGCTCAACCTATGGTGAAATTAGAGCTCTCAGAAGTAAGCACTCAGTGCCACAATCCTTATAAACAAGGAAGTGTGATCAGTTCACCTAAAGGATGGCTTATGAGGGAGGCTTACGGAAAGCCTAACAACCTAAAACAGCCACAGAATGGAGCTGTAGAAAAAGGGCTCTAGGGAGTGGTGTACTCATAAAAGAACCCTGTACAGTGAGGGGAGTACTGCCAAGTTCGACCTCCAGAGCACTCTGTCCGGGAAGGCTTACATAGAGCCCGGCAACCTGACACAACTGCAGAAAAGAGCTCTAGGCCACCTAGAGGACGACCTTAAAGACAGTATATTAAAGAGGCTCGAGAGAGCCTTGCAACCTGACACTACTGTCTAATAAAGCTCAAAGGAGCGAGTACTCAATGTAACGACCCTCTAAAGTGAGGTGAGTACTATGATACTCACTGTCTTAGGGAGTGGAATACAAACCAACACTCCTGGAGTGAAGGGAGTACTGTCAGACCTGACCTTGAGGGCAGTTTATCAAGGAGGCCCAAGGGCCTAACAACTTGACATCACTGTACCGCAGAGCTCAAAGGTCTTGACAATCATGGGAGGCATCCTTCTTTTTAGGGGAGCCTGATGTTCAAGACTTCCTGAAAGCAGTCTATCAGGGAGTCTTACGGAAGCCTAGCAATGTGATACTGCAGTATGAGAACTTTAGCTGAGAGCAGTTTGAAAAGAAGGCTCAGAAAGAGCCTAAGAACTCAAAAAAACTGTTATCACAAGAAGCCTAGGGAGCCATAGTTTTGTGACAGAGATGTACTCACAAAAAACCTTATGGATCAAGAGTACAGGGAGCAGGGTACACTTTGCCACCACCTCAGGGGCGAGGGAGTACCGATCATCAAGGAGGCTTGCAAGCCTTGCAACTTGAGAGAGAGAGACCTAATTGAGGAAGCCAGTCAGGCCGTACAACCCAAAAAATCCCTGGAAAGGGAGGGGAGGCTCAGACTAGAGGGCCTACTACCCAAGACTTTCAAATGGAGGAGGCTCACAGAGGGCCTTACTACCCCAAATTGAAAGCCAGAATGCAAAACACAGGCTACCTAAGTTCAGCTATACACAGAAAGTGGAGGAATGACTCACAGAACTGAAAGGAGGCCTACAACACTTATAGTATCTGAAGAGAGAAGGTCTCCATAGAGGCCTCATAACACACTAACATTTTTAGAAAATTAATCATACTCACCCCCCCCACACACACACACACTGGAGGAATCCCACAGGAAGCTCCCCGTCCTTGCGTCCTTTATTCTGTATGACCGGAGACCAAGGCAACACACTTGAAGTCAACCTTGAGCCAGACCATCATCGGGGAGTTCTGTCCACAGATTGAAAGCTCCCACCACACCTAACCTCAGGGTCTTTCAGGGTCAGATTCTGGACCAGACAGAACAAATTACCTCATCTGAGCTCACTTTCTAACATTTAGAAAAATATTTACATTAAATGAGAGAGTGAAGAACCATTTTATAGTCTTTTAGATTATAAAGAACCTTTTGTGCAATGGGAAGGGTCCCTGGACATTAAAAGTTCTTCATGGAACCCTACACTCTGACAAAGATCCATTTAAGAACCTTATTTTTAGGAGTTCAGCACTGACTGTGTGAGGTGCCATTAAGAGCTGATTGTGATGTGTATCCTATAACAGCGCTCTGCACAGACAGCAGTGGAGGACAATGAGAAGATCTTCACTGAGCTAATCCGCTCCATTGAGAAACGTCGCTCTGAAGTAAAGCAACTAATCCGAGATCAGGAAAGAGCATCAGTAAATCAAGCCGAAGAACGACTGGCACGATTGGAGCTGGAGCTTGATGATCTGAGGTGGAGAGATGCTGAGCTGAAGCAGCTTTCACACACAGATGATCATATTCATTTCCTCCAGGTAACAGAGATCTTCTCAAACAGAGGACTGAGGACTTTAACAGGCTTCACTAGTTTATGCTTTTGTCTTTGTGACTGTAGAGTTGTCCGTCTGTCTCTCTCACTGGATCTACAGACAGCCTCACGGTCAGTGCTCATCCCTCTTTTGATGATGTAGTAAAATCTGTCTCTCAACTCAGAGACAAACTGCAGCAGTTCTGCACAGATGAGATAGAAAAGATATCTAAAAGAGGTAAATACTGATTTATTCTCAGAAAAGAGTTGAGCACCATTCAGTAAATATAAAATGGTGGTAGATTAATTTCCTCTTAACATGACAATTAAAGTGCTTGCACTGATGCACAGATGTTCTTTGGTGTTCATAGTGAAAATCGTCCAGGTCATTGTCCCTCGTGAATATGCGACCAGGAAGGAGTTCCTACAATGTGAGTTACTATGAAAACACACATATAAACACTGACAATTAGACTTTCTATGCTAATTTAACATGACCAGGGGTTTGTTCCAGAATCAGATATTTTATGTGTGTGTATATATTTTTTTTCTATAAACTTTATTACTATTACTATGAAATACCCACACATCTTTTTACACAGCGTAATTCGTTTCAAAATTTTTATTACTTTGTGTTTAAAATAAATGAAATTAGAGTTGCACCCAATAATGAATGTAACAGATTATAAAAATAATTGAAAATCAATTTCATTATGGATTAGATTAATCTGTGCGCTGTGAAACATTCATTTTGAAAACATTCATTCATTATTATTTTACAGTAATACTAGCTTTGTTTACCTCATACATGAATTAGTATTTACAGATTAACTTAATCCTCTAAATCGTAGTAAAAGGCACATTATTATTATGAAATAAAATGTACACAAACCTGTATTTCACCGAAGAAATTCACCAATTAGGCAGTGCCGAGAACTGCTCTCTCCTGAAGAGGATGAAAAAGCCTGTGCTCAGTAACCCAACCGCTGGGTTGTTACGTCAAATGGTGGGGAACGAGTGCATTTGACCCAGCAGCTGGGTAACACAAAAACTACCCAACACTGAAAAAATAACCCTACAAAAAGGATCCAAAATGCTCAACCAAGTATTTGGGTTGAAAAAAAAAAAATAAATAAAAAACCCCAGCATTTTTAGTGTGTTTAAATTTAAAATATTTTTTTTTTTACAGTAAAATACGGAAATCATTAGGCTTTTTTATCCTATTAATCAGTTATCAAAATAGTCGTTAGTTGCAGCTCTACAAATTCTGCTTCATGGGCTAAAATGGTTTAATTCCACATTTTATCAGAGAGTCAGAGAGATACATGTCCAACTTTACCATTATGAAATTATAATAGACCTAGCTAATGTGTTATGATGTTATGTGTAATGATGTAAAGTCATAAGCTATTATGTGTTTATCTCCATCAGATAATCATGTGTTGACTCTGGATCTGAACTCAGTAAACAAGCGTATCCGTCTGTCTGAGGGAAACACAGTGATGAGTTTCATTGACACATGTCTGCCGTATCCTAATCACCCAGACAGATTTGATTGGTGCATGGCATTGTGTAGAGAGAGTGTGACGGAACGCTGTTACTGGGAGGTGGAGTGGGCTGGTAATGGATCATTAGGAGTAGATATAGGAGTGACATATAAGAGCATCAGCAGGAAGGGAGATGGTCCCGAAAGTGCAGTCGGACGTAATGATCAGTCCTGGAGTTTGTACTGCTCTCCTGACTATTGCTCATTTTGGCACAAAAACATTGAGACCGTCCTTCCTGTAACCCGTGTGTCCAGTAGAGTAGGAGTGTATGTTGATCACAGCGCAGGAACTCTGTCCTTCTACAGCGTCTCAGACACAATGAGCCTCATCCACAGAGTCCAGACTACATTCACTCAGCCGCTCTATGCTGTGTTTGGACTGGATAGGCAGACAGCGGTGAAACTGTCTAACCAATTAAGTAATTCAGACATTCTACAGATTGCTTTGTTATATCACAGGATGATGATGTCATGAGGCTTATTTTCAAATCAAAGATATCACTACTGAAAAATGTATAAACTCAACTAAATATTTTCACAGGGTTTTCAGTCTTATTCCTGCCTCTGTATCAAAAGAGTTGTCTTCACCTGCATGTTCATAACATATATAATTTAATACTGGCATATCTCTTTTGCTAAATCAGTTGTTTGTTTAAAGAAATTGTGTTTTGTGTCTGTTACTGGAACAATGTGTGCATGATTTAAGATAAAATACAATAATTTTGGGGCTATATCAGGATATAAGATCAATTTTAATAAAAGTATATTATTTCCAATTAATAATGAGGCAAGGCAGTTAGACCTTAACAAGTTTCCGTTTAAAATAACTTATGACTCTTTTAAGTACTTGGAAATTTCAGTGACAAGTACATATAAAGAGCTATTTAGATGTAATTTTGCTGTAGTGATGGAAAAAACTAAAAAAGACTTAAACCGATGGTCATTATTACCTATTTCATTGGCAGGCAGAATAAACACAGTTAAGATGTCTATTTTGCCAAGGTTTTTATTTTTATTTCCAAATGTTCCATAGTTTATCCCCAAATCTTTCTTTAAGGAGTTAGACAAACATCTGTCCTCTTTCATATGGAATAAAAACATTCCAAGAATTAGGAAAGCTTTTTTTAGAAAGACAGAAAGATGTGGGGGGATTGGCATTGCCCAACTTTATGTTTTAAGTGACTACTACAATTTAGGATAATTCATAGGCTACACTTTTCTAGAAGTAAACTGGCGAGAATATTCCCAGAAATAGACCCGACATGTTGTAGATGTCACAGAGGTGAGGCTACTTTAGGTCATATGTTCTGGACATGTCCAGCTCTAGGACCATTTTGGTCTGCTGTGTTTGAGACATTTTCATATATTTGTGAAAAGGAGATAGAACCGGATCCAATAATAGCAATATTTGGTGTGACATCTGAGAACCTCTCACTACCATCAGGTCAATCGGATGCATTGGCTTTCTCTTCTCTGTTGGCCCGACGACTTATACTCCTACAATGGAAGTCAAACAAACCACCAACACATATCAAGTGGGTAGAAAGTGTCATGGCATATTAAAAGTTAGAGAAACTCAAATACTCTACACAAGGCTCCATTAACAGATTTTTTTTTTAAGTTTGGAGACCTTTCCTTTTGTATTTTGAGGACAGATTCATTCCAAACACTAATTACTAGCTCCACCCTTAGCCCAACCACCCCCCATCCCCTCCCAACCTAGCGGTTGTGTGTTTTTTTCCCCACCCCCTCTTTAAATACTGTGTTTGTTTGTGATGTTGTGTAAAGACATTTTGTTTGATGTGATTGTTGTGTAAGTTTTGGAAAATTCAATAAAAAGATTTGTCTAAGATAAAATACATCTCTAACATCTCAAGGATTCATCTGTTTCTGAAATCTCACTGCTTCTGCTACTTCCTGATAATCAGCATATTTCAGATTGTTTTAGTTCACTATTTCCTCTAGTATATAGTTGAAAAAAAAACTTTTTGCATATATGTGCACATTTAAATGTGTTCTTTCTGATAGGATTTATTGTAATTTTGTATGAGTGGGCTACTTGATGTTAATAGTTTTTTTGGTTTGTTTTTTTGCTCTAACAACAACCATTAAATGATTTATTTTTATTCTACACCATCAGTTTTGCTGACAGTTTTTAGATAGAATCAAATGTGTGTATGTGATTCACAGATGGCAAAAGTACACATATTCTTCACTCAAGTAGAAGTACAGATACTCATGTTTAGAAAGACTCTGGTAAAAGTTGAAGTGCTGACTACATTTTTTTTACTCCAGTTAAAGTATAGAAGTACGGGCTCTGGCATGTACTTAAATAAAAAGTAGCCATTACTAATACCTGTTTTAGTGTCACGCAGGTAACGGGACCTCACGTCTTATAAATACCTTAATACAAAAGAACTTACAATTCAAATTTCGTTAGCTTATAAATGTATCAGGCTGAAGAACCGCCATGTAGAACTGGGCCAGACTGGGACAAATTTCAGGCTGGGAAATCTCACACTCATCCAGGCCGTCCCATACACCCACAACAAATTCTGAAACCATGGACCACACTATATTTTGTATAGCCATCACATAAAAAAAGGTTAAAATCCTTAGGCTGGGGCTGTGCAAAATAACTATATTTTCTAAATTGCCTAAATGTCAAAATTAGTGCAACAATAAATACACCATGACAATATCTTTATAGAAAAATCCTAATATTGAAAATGTTATTGCATTATCATGAGTCATATTTTTCCCTTATGAAAATTAACCATGGTTTTTTTTTATTAAAAGTAATCATAGTTTTTTAATGGCTTGATTACCATTTGTTTAACCATAGTTTTACCACAAATTCCATGGTTGAACTATCGTTAGTGTAGCAAAACCATAATTTGTTGTTACCTTAGTAAGCATGGTTTTTGGTTTTATTTGTAGTAAACCCATGGTTAATTTTCATAAGGGCGGTTGTTGTCCTAAGGCAGTTGTTGTCTGCCTTAGCTCCCTAAACCTATTACAAAACAATGTGAAAATTTGTCTGCTAAATTACTACTGTAATTACAACAGATAATGATGTCCTTTAGCATACAGTATTTTGAGTGATGATAGTAATGGGGTGCCACTGCTAACTGTTGCTAGCAGTTTAATGCTTAACCAAGGTCTGAATTTCGTTGTACTGCTGAGTCACATTGTTTGTGAAATTACGTCTCACAGAAAGTTTTAAAATGACCGAACTGCTTTGATAATCAGTTTGGATTCAACCTAAATGCTATAAGTGCATAAATGTTTGAGGGAATTTCCCGCATTATAAACGCGAAACCTGCAGTAATGTGTAGAATTATGCGCAATACCCGCGCCGAAATTCAGCCTATTTACAGATGAAACTGACCTGCACTTGAAGTCCTGAACAGATCAGTAGTTTTGCCTCTCTGCTCCAGTCCATTCTCTTTGTTGCACTGATTACTCTGATCAAAAGCTTTTGGTGGAGGCGCAGAACTCGCGCGAGCCGAATCGGAGCATTGCCAGTCAAGACTAGCCGATTTCTTTTTTATTATGGCGCTTTTCCACTGCATGGTACGGCACGGCTCGCTTTTGGGGGTGTTTCCACTGTGTACAGTTCCTGGTACTGTTTTCAGTACCACCTCGGCTGAGGTTCCAAGAAAGCCATACCGTTGCCAAAATGCGACGTGTAAACCCTGCTGATCACTGATTGGCCGGAGAGAATCGCCATGTCATTGAACTTGCTACACGAGACCGGCTAGCTGGTTGTGGCTAGAAGGGATACAGCTCCGACCGGAAACGAACAATGAAATACATTTTCTACCTATTAGATTGTGTTTAACGTCTACATCTACCCCAACCCTAAACCTTCCCCTTACAATAATGAAAAAATATTAATTATTGTTGTACAGTGTGACAAAAATTACGCTGTATTGATGTGCGCATGCCCAGTAGCCGCAGCTGTATCCCTTCTAGCCTTAACCATGCTAGATTAACGGTGCGTTCCAAACGGGATATATCACCTCCCGAAGGGCACTTCGGAGTGAAAACAATCATGGCCGCCATATTGAAGGGTTGTTCCAACTGGCCACTTCAAAGGGCCCGTCGGAATGAAGGATTTCGAAGGGTACAACTGATGGACACTACAGGCCCCCATGATCCTTTGCACAGGATATTTGGCGTCACAGAGTTCGAATTCACCGATAAATGTATGCATAGTATTTTTCTATACTACTGTAATATTTTTACGAGTTAGATTTGGTACATTGTTTTGTAAAAATGCTTTACAGCTACCTTTATCAGTCCATTCAAATGTTTCAAATACATAGACACAATATACATTACAAATACATATTACATTACATTACATACACAAATATAGATTATATTTAACGTAAAAGACGATTGGGGGTCAACCAGCGTACAAAATGTGCGACGAAGGTGCCTCCTTGATCGTCTCCTTAAGGTGATGCAGAAGTGCGTTCCAAAAAAATAGTTTTTTTGACCCTCAATCCCTTCACTCCAGAGAGTAAACCCTTTATTTAGGGATTAGGGCATAGGGATGAGCCCTTCCGAATGGAACGCAGGGTAAATCAGCACAGCCAGCGAGGATCGAACGCAACTTAATATATATTTTATATTGATAGCCGAGGAGCGGATCCAGAGAGAGCTTGATGGGATGACGTGGAATGAAAAAGTTTTAATGATATGTCTATAATTCCGCTCACTCTTAAGCGATACTAAACTGCAGTGGAAACACAAACCGAGCTAAACCATACCATGCAGTGGAAAAGCGCCATTAGAAACTTATTATCGAATGGCGAAAATACAGATTAAAACTAAAGTAACGAGCCTGTTTGAAAATGTAAGAAGTAGAAAGTACAGATATTTGTGTAAAAATGTAAGGAGTGAAAGTAAAAAGTTGTCAGAAAAATAAATAGTGAAGTAAAGTATTGTTACCAGAAAAATCTACTTAAAGCTGCAGTCTGTAAGTTTTGCCTCTTTGTCGCCATCTCTGTTTGAAAACCTGCAATTGCAGCTATTTGCGGAATTATCTTCCTTGCGTGGGTTATGCACCAGCACGGCTCCAGCGCGGATGAATCTAATGTGTGGCTGTCAGTCACTGCACTGGGTGTGGATATACTGCACTTTGTATTCACAGATTCTACATCTTGAAAGTATGACCCAAATAAGAGTTTTCACTGGAGAATATCATCTGAACAAGTAAGTAATAATTGCCACTTTTGTTCTGATCAACTGAGCAAAAAAGCATTACAATAAATTGCCTTATCAATGGTGATTAAATCTAACGATCGGTTTGCTCATATCACATCAAACCGTGCCAATTATTATTACTGTTATACTTTGTTTTCAAATTGTTGAAATTAATAACATAAGCATTGCGTGAGTGCTTGTTGTGGGATATTCTGTGTGCAGTTGGATGGTTGGAACTCAGCTGGCCTAATTCTTCGGTTAGAAAGAACTGCAGCTACTCCAGAGTGAACATGTCCAAACTCAATGTTTATTGGTTTGT